GCGACAGGGTCACAGCAGGTTCACAAGCGAGTTCAGCACCAGTTGTAGTTGTAGTCGTAGTTGTAGTAGTAGTCCCCACTACAATGTCAGGACCAGACGCAATCTCGGGATCGAGGACCAGTTCAGGTTCAACATCGCTGTCACTAGCTTTGCCGCCGGCTGAAGACATGCTGCTACTGCTAGACGTGGAAAGACCAAAGCTACATCAAACAATCATTTTATTTAATCATTTAACTTAAATGATTAAATGAAATGCTTGTTTGATGTAGCTCAGCAGCTTAACTGATAAAATGCAAACTAACTAAACAAAAAGCCACCCCTCTAGGCATCGACGATTGCGAACTGCCATGTGCACTCTGCAGGAAGCTGTCACGAGCTGCAGCACACACTGGCAGGACTCACTTCACACACACACACACACACACGCCCTGTGGCACAGCGCCATCTACCGCAGGTTTTTTTTGTGTGGGGCACAGAACCTGTTCCAAGGAAGGGGCACCACTACCAAATCCAGTACTAAGTACTAACTACTACTAACTACTAACTACTAACTACCTACCTACCACTAATGCTAACCAAGTTTAGATAAGATAAGCTAAGATAAGATAAGGCCATGGGCAAACTTTGGGTTTTAGGGTCTAGGGTACTAGCCCTAGTCTTGAAGCCTCTGACTTCCGTCTACCGTATAGCAACCGTATAGCTTCGCGAGCGGCTGAGCAGCAACCGAACAAAAGCTACATGTTCGAATGTCGGAGGCCAGAACTTTCACGAAGGAACTGGATTGATACTAGAGCTGAAACTTGATGAGCCCTTTGAGGCCAAGCCACCTAGGCAGCACTGTGCCCACTGGTGTGTCAACCACCGATTGGTGCAGGTTTCTGTCCTGGCGCTTGGAATGTTTTGACACAATATGATATGACTTGACTGATATGACATGAAATGAAAATGTGATCTGTAGTGTAGCTATGAGTTATGTTATGAGTCATGAGTTATGAGTTATGAGTTATGAGTCATGAGTCATGGTTTATGAGTCATGAGTTATCAAATTATGCTATGAATAAATCTGAATGATGTTATGAGTCATGAGTCATGAGCTATGAGTTATGAATTATGAAGTTATGAGTTTTGAAGCATGAGTCATGAGTTATGATATGATTCCTGAGGGGATGCTACGGCGCACTGCTACTGTTGCAAATGGTCGGACGGCCCATAATAATAACAACTTATTACATTTACAACTTACAACTTAGACTGTAGACTAGAAATTACAAGCTACAAGAGAATCAAACAAGGCATGTGGACTTCATTCCAGCCGTGCGAAATCGATTCCACATAGTCCACCACGTCGCACACACTGGATTTGGGGATGCAATCCCCGAAGAGCTTCAGCAAACGACCAATCTGCGCCTGCCCGGACAGATGCAAATTGATGTAAACTCACACTGCGTGCTCAGCATGCCTCCGGACACTACCGACGCTAAAGTGACGCGAACTACCGCACCGTTGTCACGCCTGAGCCTCCTTGTTGTGCGCAATCACATCATGCCTGAGCATGATGATATAGATTCGTGATCTCGTTTGCGGCAAACCAAAATCGCGTGACCTCAGCTTTGTTCTGTATGTGAAATGCTGCTCTGATTGCACTTGGGCACCTCATGGCCCACATGCCTAAACAAGCGACCGATCTTTCTGCATGGAATGGCACTTGAGGGTAAAAACCTCCACATCGTAGTTGTCGATGTGACGAAGTCCGATCCGCTCGCGGCGGCCCCACGCATTCGTCAGCTCGCCGTGCAACAAGAAATCCAGCGGCGTCTGGCAGGGCACAGCGGCACAACAATTGACAATGACTCCATGACAGTCGCACTTTCTACACTGAAGCAATTGTCCCGACACATGTCCAGCTCCACCACATGACGACAAGCTGGCATTTTTCGTCCCGACATGTGAAACAAGCGTTCCCGATCTCGAAGAATCTCGTAAGATTGTGCTGAGGGACAGCGCATTCGCTGGTAAACCGATACAACTGTGGTACTGAGAGCCTATGGCAGCCTAAGTTAGACTGTAGACTATAGACTATAACTAAGACTATAACAACTTGGGTTTACGGTCTAAGTTAGTAAGTACAGTACAGTAGGCTAAGCAACCGCGAAAAAAAATTGGAAGTATGATATGAGACAATAGCCGATGATAAAGATAATGCTACAATCAAGTCCAGAACTCCAAAGTCCAACCACAGTTCAGTAGTTAATATACTCCGATCGTCCTGCAAGCGACCCGTGGCTGTCCCTAGCAGCAGTGCTGCCCGCGGGCAGCAGCAATGCAGGTGTGGCATACAGCACTGCATGCATCCGGACAGAGCCCTCACGAAAATATCTCAGGCACTGTACCAAGCGACAATGCGGCAAACTGCCAATACCAGCAAACTACCAATACTCTAGTAGTCATATCATATCATATCATATAAGTTAATATAATAATAATAAGTAATAAGATAAGTATGTATGACAATATGATCAGTAGTTTAATCACAGTCTAACAGTCTAATGAAAAATTATAATGTATGACCGTATAATTTATGTTATCTGATATTTTATTTGATATTATACAGCTTTATAATTTATAATCAATTCATAATTTATAATTATAATTTATAATTTATAATAATGTATAGTCCTATAGTATAGCCCTGTATAACTGTATAACTGTACAACTGTCTGTCTAATTGTAGAAACACATGTCACATAATGTAGTTACATAATGTAAATATAGTAGACTGATATCCAGTAGCAATTAATTAATATGTTCATGTATAACGTAACTTATACGTAGACTATAGCTTTAGCCATAACTGGGCCATAACCTCCTACCGCCATTAGCTGAAAAGAGATACGAGTCGTGGCGTCTCTGTCCGATGCCTGGCAAACAAGACCACAGAGCAATCAGGCTAACTGTTAACGCTGGAATTCATGATCTTGGAACTGATCTGATGTGCTGACCGATATTGATCCAACCGATCAGCTAAGACTCTAACTCTAACGACTAGACTAAACTAGATTATGGCCTATGGCCGATGGCGCCTATGCCTATGGCTTAGCCTACAAAACTTAAAAACTTGTAGACCCATAGCCAAATCATAAATCGTCGTCTATAAGTCTATAATCTATAAATACAGACTATATGCGGTTTAGGGTTTAGGGACTGTGACTACACTGGAATCATGACTATGACTCTGACTCTGACTAGAGGACTATGACTCTGACTATGACTCTATGATTCTATGACTATGACTATGACTCTGACTATGACCAACTTTGATTCTCGCTTTGGAATCCCAGCTCACATCCTCTGCAGGCGCCGCAACGTCGCTAGCGCTTCACGACATACCCTGCCTTCTGACGGTGATATCTCACCTCCAAGTAGCTCTTGCAATTTTCTGATTGAATTCTGTAGTGCCTCATCCTCTTCGATCTGTAAAAGGCAATCCGTATGAATGGACCGCGAGGGCTTGCTGTACCGGAATGCGTAGTCGAAGCGGAGAGTGCCAGACGGCATTGCCAGACCGCAGTGGTAACACTTGACATTGCCGCGTTTTACAGCTCCCACTCCAAGTATCCCGATTTGTCTCTGGAAAAACGCAGCACCTGTAGGAGGTGCAGGCGGTGGAGGCACGGGGTCCTGGCTGCCTCCAGGGGTCGCATCATCTGGCCTTGCTTGGGGTTGCTGCTGTCCTTTTGCCTCTGCACGGGCAGCATCCAACTCAGCCTGCGCCTCCAGGCTAAGGAGACACGCCATCATGTCCCCCGTTGGATCCTCCGCTGGTAACCTGCAAATGGGTGTTTGCAAGGCTTCTGCCGCATGCCACTGCCACACCACTAACTGCCACGAGCCACTAACTGCCGCTATCCGCTAACTAACTCAGAACCCAGCACCCCGCCTCTCCTCATGTGATGTCGTGGAGGGTGCGGCGACCTTGACAACATCCGCACGGTCCTCGAGTGTTTTTTTTGTGGTTTGTGATTTGGTGGGTCTGGCCACCATTGCTGACATGCCGAAAGGGAGTCGGATGCTGCTGGTCGGAGCACTGCGAACCGGCTGAGCATCCTGCTGATGTATCACAACATCCCGGCCACATTCCGGAATCTGAAAAGACATATCGCCCGAAGCTGTCAGCAGCACTTCACGGAAGAACGTGGCCTGCAATGCGCAATTCAGTGGAAACACGTCTGGGATTACACAACCAGGTGACCTGTACAAAGTGACATGAGTAGGCGAGCAGCATACCACATTAGTCACATCTTTAAATATTGTTAACTTATGATTATTTATATTTATATTATATATATATATATATGTATACTGTCTACTGTATATATGTAATAAAAATAGTATTATATATTATATAATAGGTAGTATGATTACCATATGTATTTATTTAATACTACTATATAACTATATATAATATAATATATAGTATATGACATATGACATATGATATATGATATATGACTGTATGATATGTATATATAAAGTCTTCATTATTATATAATTATATACTTATATAACTTATATAATATATTATATAATTATATAAAATATATTTTAGATACATAGTATGTTATAAATTATAAATATAAATATAAAGTATACAGTATACAGTATACACAAAACCTCATTGTATAATGTCTGTCTGTCTATATTGTATCATATGACTTTAACATATATGAATATGAACATGACAATAATAATATTAATAAATTATGACTCATATGACCCATGACTACTACAACTATAATATAAAACTACAACATTATGATAAATTATGAATTATGAATTATGACTCTGTGACTCTGACTCTAACTCTAACTCTAACTATAACTAATCTATCACTATGACTCTGACTATGACTATGACTAGACAACTTTACCGACTAATATAAATACAGTATTGTAATTAATTTATCATTTATCATTTATCATTTATCACTGATAAATAGTGTTTTAATGATATGAATGGTATGCTGCTCGTCTATGCTTTAGGCTGCCTGCCTTCAAACTCATGTTCTCAGCAGCTCCATCCTTCGCAAGGAAGGACGACATCAGCGTCCGCAAAGCTCGATGCATTGTTCCCATGTGCACATGACCGTCGCGATGCGTGAGCTTCAACACACCGAAGTCATCATGCACATGGACTATAGTATGGCACAGTGGTCGGAGAGCGACGGTTGCTACAATGTACCAGCTTTGCTCCCAATCTATGTCGACTTCTCCAGTAACATCAAAGACCCCCAAAGACACCAGAAAGGGGTTGGTTCCCAGACGGCATGCCAGCACTTCGCTGTGGAACTTGGTCACCAGCTTGCAGACCTCCTCAAAACCCAAATCAGCCTGGCACGTGCCTCCGTGGCATGTACCGCAAGGTCTGCGGAATGCAGGCATCTGCTTTTCATTCGGTACGATGGAGGCATCGAAATTAAATATGGAATCATACTCTGCTTTCAGCTGCTGGAATGCGGCAGTGGTGCTAATGGACGGCAGAAAGTCAGGACGAAGAGCCGCCATGTGGTCCGACAGCCCTAAGCCGTGCTTCCATGCAGTATGCTCAGCGACCCGTTGCAAGTTTATGTCCACTCGAGATTGGTTCAGCCGTTTCACCTGTGACGCGCTGAGCATATCTTGATCTACAAACTCTTCCGCCGCTGAGCCTGCCAGTGCAGTCTGCGCAAGCTCATCCCTGGCCAGCTGCATTTTGTCTGCTTCCACTTGAAAGCGCGCCCTCTGATCCTCAGGCATGTCTTGCCACTCCTGTGCAATCTGTGCGGTGATGTCACGGTTCTCAACAGTGCCCAATCTCTGCTTCGAGAACATGTGCCTTACTGGATGTTTGAGACGGAACCACTACCATAGTCGAGACATGGCCTAGGCCCAGTCTACTCTCTCACTATCTCACTCGACTGCAGCAGACTTAGGCCATAGCATGCATCATACAGCATGCGGCACACTGTAGAAACATAATAAGTAGTGGAGTGTGCATGTATGCTGTATACGACTGTATCATATCAGTATTCTAATTCGCTTGAATTTGAATCATAACTTGACTCAACTCAACGAGAAATATTACCTGCTTATCATACCGTGCATTGAGGCCCGCCACTTGCGAGCCTTCTGGAATGCATTGAATGCACTCACCTTTCGACGTCGAGCTTTGTCACGGACAACTCGACCGCCCTGTATCTGCCTGAGAAGGAGGATGTATGACTCCAGCTCATCCCATTCATACTCGTATAATAACTATGGAGTGTCGACGTATAATAATTACAAGTATTGTAACTAACTGAATAACTGTACAACTGTTTCTGATGTGAACCACTTTGTTCGTCGTTTTATAAAAGCTGTAGATAAACCATTTATAACATCTACCTACTTATAACGTTCAAATAATAGTTGTAGTCAAACTCATAGTCATGGTCATAGTCATAGAAATATAATATAAATTTATAAGAGGTACAACGGTATAAAGCGGGTATGCCTATAGCCTATACTATAACCCTATAACTTATAACTTATAACTTATAACTTATAACTTATAACTTATAACAACTTATAACTTATTTAAAATTATATGATATGTACTAATAATAGTAGTAGTAACAAAGAATATGATATGAGTGTAGCATCTAGAGTTACATGAAATTTCTAAATCGAAAAAACATTGGATGTTACATACACGACCAGATACAGCATTCCTTTGAGCATTCCCGGTCTACGACGCACAGTTCCGTCTGCATTCAAGCCTTCGCGTGCCACCAACATCCCTGAACCTGGGGCTGCACTCTCGATCCTTCGTGCCCTCATGGTCCTTCTTACCCGACTGGCAGCAGTCCCCAACGAAGCGTCCTCCACCAGAGCCTTGACCTGCGAATGCTCCAACACGGTGTGAGTGATGAGACTGTCGGCCTGTATGTTTGCAGGCCTTTTTGGCACTGCTTTGTGATTGGATGCATCTACTTGGATGTTGGCATGAGATCTCTCTACATCGACGGTGCTTGTTGGAAGTTGTAGGAGAACATCACCAAGCAAAAGCCTCAGGTGCTGTAGTCTGCGCATCTGCTTTGGTAGGGGAATGTTGTCCGAGAGAACCCAATCAATGAAAACTGCTGCAAAGAGCTGGTCATAACACAGCTCACAATGCCGATGCTGCAAACGCAAGGACTGCAAGGAGGTCATTGCAGCATCGTCGTCCATATTGTACACTTTGAAGAGTGACCACGGCAGAGATTCGAATGGAAGGATCAAACGCCTGAAAGCGTCAGCTGCTCCAATTAGGAGCAGATGCACACAGGACTGCTTCTCCAGGCCCATGTCTGACAACCACATGTCGTCACTTGCTGGGGCTTCCAACAGGGTTGTGTACTCTGATACAACAGTCCAGCCTGCGGCACCTGACAAAATGCGAAGACTCATGGACATCAGCTCGCTTGGCGCAACATCCTGACACTTGCTGCTCTCCTTCAAGATCCCACGACCTTTCATGCGCAACCGGCATCGCACGGTTTCGACAAAGGAGACTGTGTTCATGTATCCAGTCAGTGGCCGGGTCACCAGAAGAGCTTGCAAAAAACGCGCCTGAAGAGTCAAAGCCATTTACAGTAGACCTAGATAACTAACTAGCTTAGATTAGATTAGATTATGAGATAACTTAGATAACTAATGCAAATGATGCTTATGTGTCCACATCAATACGTGTCGTCCAATACCTCATTGCTGCTTTGTGGCATAGCTCGGCTCTTATTATTATGACTATAACTTCTATGACTTTAACTAACAATTGTGTCGAACTTCCGAACCCACACCGAAGCAATGAAAGTTACTCAGCTGTCGTAGACCCGCTTCAGCGAAGGGGCGGTTGCATCCGGTTCGCACAAAAGCTGAAAGACCTTGGCTACTCTGACTTGCTGGCACGCAGATGGGTTGTTGTCTGGATTGTCCAAATCCATCGTGGACTGCTGCAGTTCTTCCAGGAAATCTGCACTGTCGTTCTTGCACAGAGCCCACACTGCACGCATCAGATTTTTCACCACCATCCCTCGCGCGACATACTCGCATGCACCATCGAAGTTTTTCCACCGGTACAACAAGGGCGCCGTAAACAGATGGCTAAACATGATGTCCAAGACCTTGCGCAAGCGACAGCGGAATACAGCATCGTTCCCACAACAACCGGGCTCGCAAATGTGCAACAAACTATGGCCGGGCTCAAAGGTATCCAGCCAGCTGGTATTGAGCATGGTCAATATAAGCTCACGATCATCTTCACACATGTCCGTGCTGCACATCTGTAGCAGCACGCTATGCCTCCGCCGACATTCCTGGATGGAGGTTGGCAAAGCTGTCACCTCTCGTCGCTCTGCCTGTTGTACCAAGCATGTCAGGACATTGTCCAGGCGTTGCCGGAACTGCGTCCCTTTGGTCGCGTTCGCAAAGCGTACGAGTCCTTCCCCCGGGTGCCCAACTACACTGAAATACTGAGTCACTATCATATTACAACATAACTTGTTATGTTGTAATATGATGATTCTTATATGACTGTGTATGTACTCCCCTGTAACATAACTACATTTTATACTTAATTTAACTATGACTATGACTATAACGACTACTTATATTATAACTACTTATAAATTGAGTTAACTCACTATCCAAACCTTGAAGACTCCCTGAAGGCACCCTCGCCAACTCATGCAATTCCCGACCTGTGGCAACATCTTTGATCCGGAGAATCATAGGCTTCTTTGCTAGGGCAGACTGATGGTGGCAGCAAAAGACATATAATGGTGCGGTAATACTTCGTTGGTGCTGTCGTTTTCTCAGATATTCACGTTGCTCAAGAGCAGCGAGCGACACGTTGGCAGTCAACGCATCAGTGCCTGAGAAGGTTCACGGAGTCAGGCTGACTAGGCTAACGAGAGTTAAGTTATATGAAGTTAAATGCCAACACCCTGCATGTCCGAAGACATCCTTGCCAACAACTGAGGATTCTTATCTTAGAACTTAGAAGCTAAGAACTTAGTTTTTTAGAACCACATAGAAATGACATAATCATAGAATCAGGAAACTTAGCATTTCATAGAACTTAGAACTAGGTTCGAACCAACTACCAAACCTCAACATCCAGTCCTTCGACATACTAGGACTAGGACCATGACTCTGACTGGTTCCTCTCACTCTCTGACGCACGAAAGCAAATGTTCAACCGTTCCACATGACACAACCACACGGATGGGGATGTCGTGGAGCAGCTTGTCAGCTTCCGGACCTCCCAGATAAGCGGAAGCATTCTCACAGCCGGCCAACGTCCACTTGTTCGTTCTGTGAAGCAGCGTCGCCGTATTCGCCTATTGCGAGAAGCAGTGGGCAGTAGAATTCATATAATTTAATTAGTAAAAAAATAAACTATACCATAAAAATAACTGTTAAGTTATAGTATTTATAGATTTATAGATACATAATAACATAAACTTCTCAGTTAGTTATTATTATTTAATATAACTTGACATTGTATATTTATAGTCCTACTATTATTGTCTATAATTATATAATAACTATAAATTATAAATTATAAACAGTCTATGACAGTATATAATAACATATTATAATATAATATTATATATATATATATAATATAATATATAACATATGAAATATATAATATATATTATATAATATTATATAATATGTAGCTATATATATAGTCTATAGTATATAATATATATAATTTTATATATAATTATCTGTATAATATATATATATATATATATTATATATTATATATATATACATATATAATATGTATTCTACTTCGGCCTGTAACCGACTAGAATTAACTTAGAACTTAGAACTTAGAACTTAGAACTAGAACCAGAACTTAGATTAGAAAGATATCAGAAGTAAAAACTGGTACGAGAACTTAGTATCTCAGCCTTGGAAATTACATTCGTCGTCACACAATTTGTGAAAATCATGGCCTTCGGCAAGACTTGCGAAGGCACATGCAGCTGCACGGTCGACAGCTCTCCGGCTGCAACCTCTTGCACACCCGTACCACCGCGCCGTAACGTGGCCCACTGTAGCACCCCCAGCAACGGCATCACTTTTCGCCGTCCTGACCTACCCTTTGTGCTCTTGCCGATGCCTTTTTCATTGCCACTGCCATCCTGAAACTCATCTTGCTCATCCTGCTCCAAAAGTTTCTGCACCAATGCGTCCGTGTTCCTGTCAGGTCCAGCCTGTGGGGAAACAAACACATTTGTGTCGTCCGTGATGCGCACGAACACAGCGTGATGGCATGGACCTTTGCTCAACCATTGCAACACCGCGGCATGCTGCGCCTTCACATAGGACAGCAAAGCGATAGCCTTGCACCGGGCCAGTGCTGTATCCTTCCGGCACGTCCTGGTGTAAGCCGCAGGCTGTCCATCAGCGTCGCAGAACTTGTAAACTTCTTGCCTTATTGACTCATGAAAAGATAGGAAAAGGAAATACAGGATTGTTCCGATTACAATAATAGTGGTGCACTGCATACAATAACAATAGACAATAGCCAAACAGTTAAGTTAAGTATCAGAATCAGAAAACAGAGCCTATGCTGAAGATTATAGAAATTAGAAATGTCTGTAACTATTGAGCTGTATGACTAAATATTCATGCAAGCGACACTTTCCTGGCATTGGCTGAGTTGTGACCTCTGCCGTAATCGCTGAAGACGATGCGTACCACGTCTTGCTTAGGGCTGACAGTGTACTTTTTTACACATTCAGCTGCTCGCTCCACCTGCTTCTTCGCGATGCCTGCAGCCACTAGTGCACCGTGGCTCTTCCCTCGCGATCTCCAGGAATCGGGTGGTGTGTGCTCCTGTTGACTACAAACTGGCATTGCTAGGCTATTACGACTACAGACTACATGATTATATGATAATTACTAAGTATTCTACTCTTTCTGAACTGTGCTCCTGGCTGTCTGCAAGTCTCCGTCGCTTGGCAGGAGCGGACGAACAGTTCTCACTAGCTTGTCGCTGACGTTGCCCCGCAAGACCAGCTTTCACTAGCTTCCACATGGCTCCCGCTGCTGGCAACCAGTTACCACTACCACAATAAAGCCCTACGAGGTCAGTCAGCTTGAAGTTGCAGTTTAGTGGCAGGTACTTATGCGAGCATCTATGCTGAGAGAAGCTAACGACATCGACAGCATGCATCATCTGGCGTGTTTGATTGAACACTTTGAATGAGCGAAAGTTCCAGCAGAACAGCACATGGCTGCGACGGTTGCTTCATTCTGCCAGTGATACAGTGACAGCACGATACGGATTCACTGACTCACACGGATACGGCCACAGTGATTTCACGGTAAAGGCTGAACGGCGCCTGGTACACATCATTCGCCGATTGATCTGCTCGTCCACGTTTTAAGCATCCGGTCACATTCTCCAGGATGACTGTCCTTTGCTCTGAGTTCGGCTATATTCGGGTACACTACTCGCATAAGTACAGTGCTGCATGCAGCAATGGCAATGCAACCACAACACAGATTCAAATCGCCACTGTTGTGCAACGAAATTACAAAACAGCCGCTGCAATCATTGTCGGGAACCAAGTTTCCGTGGCCGCCGCTGCTTCACGAATCGGGACGCTTCGATGAAGGGCATAGCATGTTTTGCCTGGGCTGCACACCCAACACCCTAAACCCCTGAAATTCCGAAACCTGCCCAGAATCTTAAGCCATCATAAAACCCTAATCCCTCAAGTCTACCCCCAATCCCAGGCCGTGAACCCTGGCCCTCATCATGAGTCCAGACATGCTCATCATCTCACCCGCCATTGACTGGAATTCTGAATTCTCATTGTCATTCACGATTCACTATCAACTGTTCATCACTCACCATGATCAACATTCATCATCCTTCTTAGAAACTTCATATCATCACTGGTCATTTCATCATATCTCCGTGACTGTGTAGAATCAGAGTAAGTATGCATTTTGTACATAGTTACATAGTAAATATATGATCCGTGTGTCAAGCTTAGTTTGCAGCGGTTTAGATTCAAGGCTTCGGTCCCGGTCGGTCTTGCATAGGCATAGGCGGCATAGGAGCTTAGGGTCACTTAGGGTCCTTAGGGTTTAATTTAGGCGACAATTTGTTTAAGCTTCAATGAGAAGTCACAATTTCTGTCCCAGACCCGAACATGTCTGGAACCTCGTTGTGGTGGAAACGCCGGCCATTCTCTTGGCTGAATAATTTACAGGTGAAGCCAGCTACGAAAATGTCCAGCTCCTGACAATATTCACACTCACATATCACATTTCATATCACATATCATTGCATTATCATATCATTTACAGTATATGACCACGGCGAGTCCTGCGCAGCATCCGCAGTGCAGTGCTCGTTGTGCACCACACACCGGCCACCAAGCCTGACCAGCATGGGGGCGGCATTACTCTTTCAATGGCTATAGGCTAGGCTAGGCTTTTGCACGAAAATTTTGCAACATCAGCACTCCCGGCTATTGGTCTGGGTTAGAGTGAGAGTCAGAGTAGCTAGAGTTTCCAAGCTTTTTTGGGGTTTCGTTTTGAGGCTCTGGCAGTGTCAAGTCAAACTGTCAAACTTAATGGGCGTGAACGGACATGGCAAAATCAAGATACAAAATCACCTCAAATCAATGTCTACATTTAAATCCCTAACTCCTCAATCCTCGTCTCGCCATGAGCTAGCATTCCTATCATGCCTCGCAAAGGCCATGTCGGTGAAGCAGTGCTCCACACTGTGGTTGTTCAGGAAGAAGTTTCGTGTCGGGGCCTGGCTCGGAAGTTGTGAGCACAATCAGCATTCTGTGATTATAGAACTCAGAAGTTCAGACTCAATGCTCACGACGATGACTCATGATATAGTGTGCTATGCCTACGAGCAAAGACAGTAAACAAACAGGATAGAGTGACATGATCTGTGATATTCGGCTCATTCAAATCGCCTGAACCCCCTCCCCATAACCCGGCACCTAGGCCGTCTAGGCCTATGTGCCCTGAATAGATGTAACCCAATTGGGCAGTCACATATGTCAGTTCTGATCTCTCTACACCAAAGCTCGTTGACAAGATTCGTGGATTTCGGAGGATATGACCTCCTCAAAGTTGTGTCGGCCCAGTAGTGCGGCCAGGGCATACGAAGGGGCACCACTTCCTGAGCATGCCGTGGCCATCACCTTTGCAGACGGCCCAATGTTGTGTTTTATTTATTTGGGGATGGGAAAGCACCTCATCATAACTACCTTTCATGCTCGGCAGTGTCACTGCGATGACGTGCCTTTGTCTAGCTCAGAATTTAATTTAGCCTTGTGGCCAGTGGCTCCTCTAGCTGCTGCTCCAACATAGCTGGCTGAATCCCAGCTGCTGACATGAAGTGCAAAGCCCAGTTCATGGCTGCATAGGTTTCTGGATCTGTGTTGGAATCGGTCGTGCTCCTTGGAGCCGGTGAACGGGACCGGGAACGTGGCCTTTGTTGAGCACAGGATATATGAATGCTTCCGCAGTTGCTTCACTCTCGCGGTACGGATGCAACCCAGATGCCAACACTCGGAGTCAACATCTTGATCGCGACAACCAGCATATAGATCCGACAGAGGCATGGCAGTCTTTGGCAGACCGCAAGCAAATGAGTTCGAATTTTACGTACAGGTTTTCGCTTTGGACGTCACATTCACTGGCACATGCACACACTCACGCTCATGCTCCTGCATATATGCACATACAAACAACATACCTATATGCATACAAACTTACATGCTTGCCAATAGTTCCATAGATAGATACATGCTTAAGTGGTGCACGGACCCACATACAGCCACACTGCAGAGCCTTCTAACAGCTGCGCTGCTCAGGCAATAGCAGTACCCGAAGCCTTGCGCGAGCAGTCACAAGTTGACCCTGGGAAGGTACCTAGAACCCTGTGAACTGTGGGTTTAGTAGGAAGATGTAAAAGGAGTGTTAAGCCTTCCCAGGGCTAGCCAAGTTAATACCTATACCGATACCGATGTATGTCCCTCGCAGAAGACTTTAAGATGACTGTAGTCACGGTCACACCTGGACGCATGGAGTCAATACGAGATACACTATTGAGTCTGTTGAGTCTAGCGAGTAAACGACCAGTCAAAAGCCAGGCAGCACATAACCCGGATCCGCTTGGGATGGATCTTGATTTTCTTCTGGTATGTCAGCATTTGTCGACTCCTCAATCTCCCGCTGCAGGCAATCACCCGTTGGTCCCGTGGGCCTCGTCGGTGTGTCTCCTGGATCTATGACAGCGGCAGGCGGCGAGACCGATGATGATTGCCTTAGCTACACACTCGATGAGTCGATGAGACTCACTGTCACTGTCACTCACTGTCACTGAGATACAATAGTGAGACTATTGAGTCTAGTGAGTGAATGACCAGGTCGTATGCCAGGCAGCACATAACCCGGATCCGCTTGGGATGGACCTTGATCTTGATCTGGTATGTCAGCATTGGTTGACTCTTCCTTCTCCCGCTGCAGGCAATCACCCGTTGGTCCCGTGGGTCCCGTCGGTGTGTCTCGTGGGTCTATGACAGCAGCAGGCAGCGAGACCGATGATGATTGCCTCAGCTACACACTCGATGACTCGATGAGACTCAATGTCACTCACTGTCACTGAGATACAATATTGAGACTATTGACTAGTGAGTGAACGACCAGGTCGTATGCCAGGCAGCACATTATCCTGATACGCTTGGGATGGACCTTGGTGACCTTGATCTTGATCTGGTATGCCAGCATTGGTCAACTCTTCATTCTCCTGCTGCAGGCAATCACCCCTCATGGGTCCCGTCGGTGTGTCTCGTGGATCTGCGACAGCAGCAGGCGGCGAGACCGATGATGATTGCCTCAGCTACACACTCGATGATATCCACTGTCACTGAGATACACTGAGATGATACACAGATACAGTATTGATTGAGTCTATTGAGTCTATTGAGTCTATTGAGTCTATTGAGTCTAGTGAGTGAGCGACTAGGTCATATGCCAGGCAGCACATGATCCGGATCCGCTTGGGATGGTTCTTGATCTTGATCTGGTATGTCAGCATTGGTCGGCTCCTCATTCTCCCGCTGCACGCAATCACCCGTTGGTGCCGTGGGTCCCGTCGGTGTGTCTCGTGGATCTATCACTGTAGCAGCCGGCGAGACCGATGACGATGGCCTCAGCTACACACTCGATGAGACTCACTGTCACTGTCACTGACTAACACCGACCTATCCCATCTAGTCATCTAGTCTATACAGATCGATTCGTTGATCCCGCAGGTCCGCCCGTCCTCGTTGGTGTATGTTAGGCTTACTGTGCATCTGTACTTGAAGACACGTCCTTGGGAAGGAAAGGTTCACATGCATTAACAACAACATCACCACACCCACAAGACATCAACCAAAATAATATTACAGTAATACAGTAATACAATATTACTCAGTGATACAGATTCAGTGATTCATATCATTTAACTCAAGATACGTCTGGGATCGAACACCCGTCGCCGCGGTCGCCGTACGAAAGAGATTTCCAATGTCGTGGTTCGTCTCCGGAACCGTTGAAGATCCCCAGCCACATCGAGTCTTGCACTCAATAGCCTGATGTTGGCGACCACATAGACAGAAGAATATCATACAATGCACTGTCGATGTTTTTGGAAATCCACAGTCTCTTCGGATAGACTCGAGGGACGGCAGATGGACACCACATGCTGTCACATCGGCATCCAATGTAGCCTGTCGTGACTTGCCTGACTTGGCGTTTGTCTTGGCGGCGCTCTTCTTGATTGTATTGCCACTGTCATGTGTCAACTGAATAACTTGTGCGAGTCTGCC